TTTTTTTTTTTTTTTTTTTTTTGGTTTAAAGGGGGGGGGGGGGGGGGGGGGGGTGTTAGATTTTTTAAATCTCATCTTTATTATTTTTATAAGTAACTCAAGGTGGTGAATATAACTAATACTCCTTCCTCCTCCTATTTTCCCATGAGGTGGGCTGGGCTGAGAGAGAGTGACCAGCCCAAAGTCACCCAGCTGGCTTTCATGCCTAAGGCAGGACTAGAACTCACAGACTCTTGCTTTCTAGCCTGGAGCCTTAATCCCTAGACCAAACTGATTCTCATGATTTTCATCCATGTATGTCCCATCTTCTGTGATAAACAGCAAATTCTCAAAATGTTAATCATATTCTCAGAGAATCCTCTAGCCTCAGTTTGAAGACCAACACCACTCCTTTTCAATCCCTAGTATATCCAATTAAAAGAATTAGGTTGCTAATGATGGAAAAGATTTTGGAGATGAATGACTATGAATGTAATGGATACATTACATTCCCCCCAAAACTGGTAGAAAGCATTTTCTTTAGCCCTTTAGTTTCCAAGGGTGGGAAACCTATGTTATTGGACTAGAGTTCCTATCAAGTCTGATCACTGCTTATGTTACTGGGGTTAATGGGAATTGGAGTGTAATCAAGAACTACAACTTTATCATGTCAAAAACTTCAAGCTGAATCAGAGGCCATTTCTCCACAACAGGCTCTCTAAATTCATTGTTTTTCCAATAGCTGGGAGGTGCTACCTCCTGCTACCTTTTATGAGGTTATATTCCACAACTATGACAGATATGATAATCTGTCAGGACTTTTTCATGGCAGAGTCCCATTTATCATGAAAATATCAAATACTGTATACAGTCAGAGTGCCATTCCTAATAAGCATTATCTCTAAGCTGTATACAAAGTTTCTGTAATAAGATTAAATAAAAATGCCCCTGTCAATGGAAAGTGTTATAAGAATCAATTGGATATCAGTGAAATAATTTTAGAACAAAGTTAGATAAAGGTTGCTTTCTTTCTGTTTCCCACCTGCATCTAATACGAGGGTGCAGCACTGAACAGAATTTGGGGATCCAGTATCTAGCTAATTGAACAAGAGAAATATCTGGAGTTGTAGAAAGGATTCCAATGATGAAAATTATTTGCATTAAAATATAATGTCCTGAATCATTGTGTAGAATAATAAATCATGGTTACATAAACCACAGCATAGTACCACATATGAACTCAATTTCTGTGTTAATAAGGGCCACTGAAGGCTACTAGCTGGCTACAAATTGATGGAAATCAGCCACACAAAATCTTCTTTTCCATCACCTTGTAAGAACAAAATTTTTATGCTGTAAGTTGGGGCTTGGCCCTTTTCTTTAAGTTATAACAAAAAATTATTATTTTTTTTGATCCCCAGAAACCACATACAGTATCTGCCCTAATTTAAATGCCAAAATGAGCAAATACCCAGAGATTTTATTAGACCTCTTTTTTTATATTCTAAATCACTCCTAAATAGTAAGATTGGAGGTCAGTTAAAAGCTCCAAACCAAGGAGATGTAGCTGTGTTTTTCTTTTCTTTTCTTAGTACATACATAAAGGGTGTGTTTAAAATAAACTCTGCACTAGATAAACCATGAAGCAATGCTGCTGCATCATTGGAAACTTCAGAGAACATAAAATTCTTAGTGGAAAGAGGGTGGTGGAGAATGTCATTCTTAAAATAAACTTTTATTTGCAGCTAGTGTTGATAGTATGGTTGACAAGGAGGTTCAGTGATGTTTTCCCCATTGTGAACCACCACCCATTACAGAATCTGGAGAATGCAGTTAATCTGGGTACACTAATATGTCATAACATTAGTAACATAATGACATAACTGTCAGCAATTTGCAACTCATTTGGAACAATGCAGAGCCATCAAATAGGATTTTGCTCCTAATCCATAATAAGCTTTAGCCAGAAATGACATGTCATTTTCATTAAAGGTCCAAGCACTGTTTGCCTTTAGGACGGCTAGGAAGCAGATGGGAAGGAAGCACTTTGTACTTGCTTAGCAGTTAGCAAGGTTGTCTTGCCACAACATCTTGAAATTGTAGGGAACCTGGCAGCCCATTTTGACCATCCAAATTTTCTTTTCTTTTCTTTCTGTTACAGTATACACGTCAAGGTTTACACAGCCAAAATGGCATTTTCTACACATAAGATGGCAACATCAGCAGACTTGAGGGTAAGCCCAATGAAAGATACATTTAAAAAAATATATTAAAACAATGAAAATTTAGCATGTTCAGGTGCCATGAAAAATTAACTAATTGTTGGGAGGGAAATGGGTGAGAAGACATGGAAGAGGGGCATGGCTGATCAAGTGTGAATGGGAACACACTCCACTACTATGTTTTGCTATAGGTCCATATGATTATTTACAAAATGTACAAACAGAGTGGGCATTATGGTTGTTCTAGTAGGCCTAATCTCTTGAGAAGATTATAATCTCTGGAGAAGTCTATAATGCTGGGAAAGGTAGAAGGAAAGAGAAGAAAAGGATGACTAGCAGCAAAGGTGGATGGATTCAATTATAGCAGTGATGGGTATATCATTGGAAAACCTAAATGACCAGGTTGGGGATTGACATCATTCTGGAGAAGACCTGTCTATGTGGTAGCTAAGAGTCGACAGCAATTTGATGGCACTTAATTAATCAACAGGTCCAGTCAACTGCAACCCTGTATCATTTCAACCCAATTCTCAGAATAGGTTCAGTGGCTTACTCTTCATTACTGTCTATTCACAAAGCTTCTGATTCTCCTAGCAAGACTTTGTACAGTTTGATTCATTTTAGGCATCAAGTGAAGGCCTTTTAATTTGCCTATTTATAGTATAGTTTTAGGCTGTGAATAATACAATGTGAGTAACTCCCAGTGAATTGTGGAGTCCTTGGTGCTGAGCTTGGTTGTTTACTTGCAGTCGTTTCATTACCCAACTAGGTAACATAAGCAGTTCTATTAGTTCCATCGAATTACATAGGACTCAGTACTGAGTTGACTTGGATTTTTATCTTCTGTAAATGGCTTCCACAACTGTTATTTTAATATCTCTGCTCTAGAATGTTTTAATTTCTAAATAGGTAACTTTGTTTAAGAATGTTGCAGAAATAGCAACAATAAGAGTTTTGTGGTATCTTAAAAATAGAGGTGTGTAAAACATTTTGAGTTTGAGCTATTTCATTCTTAAAACAGGCTGTTCCAACCTCACTGGAAGAGCTCCAACCTCAAAATAACTTTTAAAATAATGATTAGTCAGAAGACTTCTAGTGAGGCAGGAACAACTTGTTTCAAGCTTAGAATAGGGTGTTTTGAGCCTGAAACAGTTCAGAGTTGAAGCACTGGGCACACCTGTCCTTAAAAGCAACCTTTATTGCAGATTTTTTAATAGTATTATAGCCCATACAAATGGGTGAGTGTATACAAATGCATTTGCACACACATGCATAAACATGTATACATGTATATGATTTGAGAAAGGGAGGAATTGAGGGAAGTCAGAAGGAAATAAATTGTAGTAAGTACTAATGATGACTGTTCCCATAATGATTACTGGATTACAAACACAGGTATCCTTGCACTAATAAGGTAACACAGCTTCTCTAAGCACTTCCAGGGAAGAGAGACCAGGACAGTGAAGGAAATGTAAAAGAAATCCTTTTAGCTGTAGAGAGAATTTTGCATGGCCCTGGAGGAGAAGTGATTAAGAAGAGATACAACTATTCTCAATATCTGAAAAGCTGTCAGGTAGAATATGGAACAGAGTTATACTTTATCATGGGACTATGATAAATAGGTAGAATTTGGGGAGAAGCCAATGTGTGCTGACTTGTATTGCAATTCCTAATAGTGGGAGTTGTTCAATAGTAAGACTGAACTTCTCAGGAGGGGGTGACCTCTCCTCTACTTGAGTACCTCAAGTAATAGTAAGACTGAACTTCTCAGGAGGGGGTGACCTCTCCTCTACTTGAGTACCTCAAGTAATAGTAAGACTGAACTTCTCAGGAGGGGGTGACCTCTCCTCTACTTGAGTACCTCAAGTA